AGGCAATCTGGAGCATCCCCAGGAACAAACTAAGAGGCAGTGGCAGTTTCTGGACAATCATGGCCAGGACGAAGCAAAACTGTCTTCTTGGAGGAAGTATTAAATCTCAAATAAGAGAGTGGGAAAGGCATGAGAATTAGAAGCATTATAATTTTGTCCTAGAAAAAGCATGCAGAACCAATATAGCTTGTTTTATTGTTAGATCTAAATCATAGTAACAGGAAATACTCTCACTAAATGCATTTCCTCTAATCTCTGTATAAGATCCAAATAATTAAAATGCACGCTAATGGTTATCGATGGCTCTGTTTCCTTTTTAAAAGAAATAGATTAGAGTTCTCTTACTGGAGTAGAAATTTATGAATCTTCTTAAATTACCCAGGGACTTGGAAGCTTCCAGGTGGATGTGGTCTTCCCTTATTGCTTTCTTCTCCCTAAGTCATTTTCAGTTAAAAAAATTTTAACAATCCCCAAGAGAGGGATTCCCGTTAGAAACCCTCAGCAAGTGAACTTGTACTGGGAATTCTCGTGCTTCCAAGTCTGCATTTCCTCCAAACAGAACTCAAGTTGTAAATAGAGGGGAAAAACATACTTCTCACTGCCAGATTCTTAAAGTTTTATTTGTTGTGGAAAATAAAACTTCACAATTGAAATGTTTTTAAATTAGTAAGAGCCACAGGCCATCTAGAGATTACAAAACCAGGTCTAATAGAATGCTCTTTACTCAAATCTAGGCAGATGTTGGACAGTTCTCAGCATTCATGGACACTGCGAGGGAGGGATGTATCTGAACAGCAGGATGACTTGGACAATGAATAGCCACAGTAGAGGCATCAACACAAAATCTTCAGAGTTAGAGGCTCTGGTGAAAAACGAAACTAGTGGCAATTTTCAATGTTTGCAGCATCTGCGACCAAACAATTCAGCACTCAGAGCCTGGACAGCTCCACAGGCCACGCTCCGGACGCGGCTTTAACTCTAATCAATCTACTCAGAGCCAGACTGTCAACTACAGCCAGACTCATTAGCGATTTACTGAAAATCCTCCAAGACTTTCCTTTAAAAACAAAACGACTCCCACATTTAATTGTCTATCTAAAAGAACATACGCAAGAAATTAGGAGATCTAAATTAAATTTATTAATAGGAGAGCTTGATGATGCTTAATTCCAAAGACCAGAGCTCTGATTGCTGGAGCTTGATGAAAAAGCAAAAAGAAAAAATAGGGACATAGTTAAAACCACGATTTTCACTATCCTCAAAGTTCCATAATTTTTTTACCCATCCTTGAGAAATGGGTAAAATTGAAAACAAATAAAATAATTACACTTCTTAAAAATTGTACTGTATGAGTGAAAGGTGTTTATGAGAAGTCGATGACTCCGGATCTTATCATCCTAGAGGACAGCACAGAATAGTTAATATGTTCCTTGAGGGACTTGGATGCT